GCAAATGGTCTGTGGAGTGACGGGTGAGCCTTGGGCATCTCGCCAGACCTCCTGCCTCCGTCCAAACCCCTTTGTGGGAAGCGGCACTGTTGGATGAGAACTTTCTCTCTCCTCCAGGGATGACAGGAAGCACAAAGTGAGTCCAGGGCAAATGCAGCCAAACCTCCCTGGCTCCCTGGCCACACCTCCACCCTTCTCCTCCCCAAAACCCAGCATGTCCTTGTCTTGCTTCTCCTTTTGTTCCCCAATGTTCCTCCCTCTCTGCTCTTGGCCAGTCCAGCTACAGTAACCTGGGATGTCTGGTTTCCAGTTTCTGCCTGAGCAGAAAAACATTTGGGCAACTCCCAGGGCACGGTCTCTTAATAGAGGGGAGTGTTTCCAAGAGACTCCTTCCCACCCCTTCTTGCCCCGCGGTGCTGGCCGCGGGCTGTGACAGCGACTGGGCTCCTGGCAGTGGGTGCAGAGGAGCAGCAGCGTCTGCTGAGCCCGTGCCGTCAGCTGTGAGCCAGAGCAGGAAACGAGCCCCCAGCTCATATCCCCATCCGGAGGAAACGCTCCTGAACATCTGGCGTGACCTGAACATCTGGAAAACCTCCCTCAGCAGTGATAAGTGTGCTGGGCACAGCATTTGGCTCAGCCCCAGGAGACCTCGCGTGCCTCGGCTGGGAGCGGAGGGGTGGGGTGCTCGGGTGGATTTTTGCTCATAGGAAGCAAACGCTGCCAGCATTTTATTTTTTTTTTTCCGGGGAAGAGCTCTGCTGCGCTCACAGCCATTGGCTCAAAAAACAACGGAGGAAAACCAGCTGCCCACCTCCAGCTTCAGTGAGACCCTCTTAGCACCATCTCTGGACACAGTGCGCTGCTCTTTAGGATTCCAGCGGTTGTGTAAAGGGGTGAAGGTGCTGGTTACACAGCCAGATGTCACCAGGCGTTTGGCTTAAGGCCACCCAGCTCACACAGGGCCACCGATAGGAGCTCTCCCTCACTGCTATCCAGCAGGATTGCAATCACTTAAATAAACTCGTCATTTAAGAAAAAAAAAAACAACACAAGGAAAGAAAAACAGGCAAGTGAACACAGACAATCTGAAAGACACTGCTTCTGGCTCCACCAGGCACCATTTATAAAAGCAAAACAGCCCCCTTATGGCTAATTCTCAACATTGCATCGGTTCCAAATACCCCAGGGGATGGATCTTATGGGGAACACTCTCCTGAGGAGCACAGGACTTCCACAGGGAGATGGGTCTGCTCTGAAGGTTCAGGATGAGGCAATTCCCACGAGTGCATTAGGAAGGCAACGTGCTCACCCAGCACTTCATCCGAACTCTTCTAGGGCCAGTCTGGTGACCATGCAGCAAGCTGCACACCTTCCACACCAGCTGAACTCCCCTTACAGAGGGGCAGCATGGGAAGGAGCTTTCCCAGGGAAAGCAAGACAAAACACCTATTTTTTCAATTCAATTCTGTAGGATTTTGTTCCACAAAACGAGGACGGGAAAATAAACAACTCTTACCCCCTATGCACTTTCTCAGGAAAGTGGGAATTTTGACTTACCTGTGTTTCGACAGGAAAATGCTATTTCAGTCAAAAAGGTGTTTCAGGAAAAAATACCCATTGCTGAAATTGTTTCTGCTGCATTTGTTTGCAGACGAGTGCATCTGCAGTCACCTTCTGCCCTGTTTCAGTCCGTCTCCTGCTTCCAGCACAATCCCACTGCACCCCATCTCCTGCTTCCAAAACTCACCGTAGTCACGATATCACACATTTACAGTTCATGCAGCCTGGGCCGCTCTCATCGGGGGGATTCAGCTTGCGCAGCTTGTGCTGACGGATCTCCCGCACCAAGGTGTAGAAGGCATCTTCAACGCCCTGGAAGAAAAGCATCACTTGAAGCAGCTGCTCATGTCAAGAGGGGACAGCAGAGAGAAGAGAGGGCTCTGCTCCCCACGTAGGTGTCCCTAGTGCTGCCTTCCAGCAGCGCAGACTGCAGAGTTAAAGGCACAAAACCAAGCTGGGAAGACCAACGGGGATCTTAGTGTGGCCCCAAACAGAGAGTGAGATGGAATGAGCAACCATGAGGCCAAGGAGCTCTTGAGTCCTTGAGATTCATTAGCTTTCAGCAGCCTGGATGAGGTCTACCACCCAGGAGAAAAGCCACCACTAGACTACTGAAGGTATCACCGGCTCCATTTCCATCTTAGTGCTCTGGGAGGGAATGTCCTGATGGAGCACTTAGCCTTGAGGAAGCAAATAACCCCGGTCCCTGCACCCATCTGTCTGTGAGGTGGTGTCTGCTTGTTCCTGCCTCTCCAGTCCAGCACTGCAGAAAAGAGAAGAAAAAGAAGATTTTGTTGAAAACCCTCCTCCTACCTGTCTGGTTTTGGCAGATGTTTCTATGTAGGGGATCCCGTAGCTCCGGGCCAGGTCCTGCGCTTGCCGGGTCTCCACTGTCCGTGCTGGTAGGTCACATTTATTTCCCACCAGCACCATGGGAACATCATCTGAGTCTTTCACCCTCTTGATCTGCTCCCTGCAAGAGTAAGAGGTGCCAAAGTGAAGGGAGAAAAGGCTTCAGGGGCAGCTCCAGGACACTCCCCACCAGCTTCTTTGTCAGGAATTAACAGCTACACTTCGTTCCTGCCAACTGCCTTGTGCTGGGCATTCACGAGAATGTAAATGACCACGGCATGTGAGTGAACAGCAAAACAGCTAGGGCACTTTTGGAAACAAAACCTAAACATACTTCTGCTCTTTACATGTTTACAAAATACAACTTGAAATTAGGACAACCTGTATTAAGGCATGAGCTTAAGATAGTTTAAGCTAAATAAAAACAAATACTCAAGCAGTTACCTGTGTTATTTCCAACATTTTAGATGATGCAATCCCCCTGAATGGGGATTAAAAAAAAAAAAAAAATCACCTGCAACCAGAATTTGCTGAGCTTATCCACCAGCTTTTGGCAGCCATAACCTTTTCTGCAGATGCAGAGGCAGTATTTGCTTCCTTCAGTTTAGTTCAGGTCACTCAAAGTTTATAAACCAACTGGGAAGCAAAAAAGCTGGAATGCTTGCTTCTTCATTCCAGCCTCCGATTTAAAACTAGGTGGGCGAGGATGAGATCTACTGCTAAAAAATCTTAAAGGCCATTATGACCACAAACAATCCATTAAATTCCCTCCCAATAGATAACAACTTCCTTTGCTTAATAAATCATTTAACTTCAGATGCAAACCAGCTTTTTTTTTTTTTAAACTTGCTCACACATCCAGAACATTTAACATGGTTTTATTTAACTAAAAAAAAAAAGCATTATTGAAAATGCTGATTTCTGCATGTTAATTGAATTCAAATTTCCATCCAAAAGCAGCTGGACATGTATCACCCACAAAAACATCAATCATCTTTTTTTAATGTAGTAGAACATAGAAAGGTCTGACTGGTATGATATGCCGTAAAGCCACTTAAACGTTCCATGTAACATCCTGAGCAGCAAATGCAAGAACTGAATTTAGTGCATGGGCCACACTTAGCTGAAAAGAGATACCTCCTAATGGTTACTAACCCGGGAGAGCAGCTTTCTCTGGGGAATATTCTTTTAAAAGTGCAAACACAAAGCGCACAGGCGAAACGAGATGAAAGCTGGTGATTTACATCCTGATTGAAAATCAAGCCATCCTGCGAGTGATTCACAGGACCCAGCCCCAGCACAGGGATGAATGCTGCTGAATCCCTCAGGTGCTTTATGAAAATCCCGTCCTTTGTCCTGCAGTTCAGCTAACACAAGCCAAATCAGCCCAACCATGCCACTATTACGCTGAACACGCCTGCTAACCGATGGCTGGGACATCTCTAGAGCTCGGAGCAATGCCTCTGACTACGGAGCTCTGTGCTCAGAGCTACGGGATTGTCTGGGACCCGGGTCTGTGATGAGGGTACATGGTCCCGTGGTGGGCAGCAGATAGAGTGGGGACAGGCAGAGCCAAGCCAAATCAGCCCAACCATGCCACTATTACGCTGAACACGCCTGCTAACCGATGGCTGGGACATCTCTAGAGCTCGGAGCAATGCCTCTGACTACGGAGCTCTGTGCTCAGAGCTACGGGATTGTCTGGGACCCGGGTCTGTGATGAGGGTACATGGTCCCGTGGTGGGCAGCAGATAGAGTGGGGACAGGCAGAGCCCCCTCCTGCATCCTCTGCGAGTGGCTCCCATCACAACCAAGCCTCAAGAAAAGGCACAAAGCAGAGAGATCCCTCCCTAAGTTAGCATTAGGGTAACGAGGGAAGGCTCTCGCTACATTTAGATCATCTCCTTGGCTCTCCAGCTCTGCAGGGGTGATGGCAGTGGGGGGACAAGCAGGATGGGTAATGGTGGTGCAGCCAAAGCAGGACCACGCCAGGATGGGGTCCCTGCTCTGCCACTGCCCCCCCAGTACATCCTCCTGGGCAAGTCGCCTTGCCGGGGCTCTGCCTCTCCTCCTGCTCTGTCTTTGCCCTGGTTGAGACCGAGTTGCAAGGGGCCAGGACTGCCTCTCCCCGCAGCTGCGGCCAGCAGACCGTGGGGGAAGCAGCCCTCCCCGCCCTTCCCAGCCTCCTCTCCCAGCTCCAGGCCCAGCAGAAGTCGCTGAGATTGATTACACCAACAAAGCCGTTCCATTCATTAGGGAGGGAAGGCAGAGGGTCACAGAGGATCAGCTCTCTCTTTAGTCACCATAAACACTTAAACATTACATTACCGAGTCCCCAAAGGCCACAAGCAATCCCTTCGGCTGGGTTTTATTGGAGTCACTGACATTAGCCGTCTGCTCCGTCTCTTCCCTGGGGAATGGCCACTTGAGCTAATTGTCTTTGCTGGCAGCCAGTGCTTCCACCGCAGGGCCTGGGCTAAAAGGGAGGGCAGGAGGGTGCAGCGGCAGGGCCGCCCCTTTGCACCGGACAAGAGGGAAGGGGCCTTTTCCAGGACACCGACCTGTACTGGTGAATATCTTCAAAGGACTTGGTGTTGTTGATGGCAAAGACGCAGAGGAATCCTTCCCCCGTTCTCATGTACTGGTCTCTCATGGCACTGTACTCCTCTTGCCCTGCCGTATCCAAGATGTCTAACAAGCAGGTCTCTCCGTCGATGACGACTTGCTTTCTGTAGGAATCCTGCAGGCCAGGAGAGGGAGAGAAAGGGAGAGGATGCGTTACGGCAGAGCTCGGGTCTGGCCAAGAGAAGGGATGCAGCGAGGGCATCCCTGGGACGATGCCAGGTCATGCTCTGCCCAGGTTTAGCTCCCATTCAATAGTCAATTCGATCTGTTTCAAAAATGGGAGGGGAAGGAAAAAGAAGAAAGAAAGGAGAGAAGAAAAAAAAAAAAGAGAAAGCGAGCAGCTGAGCAGGTTTCCCCTTCTCTGGGAGAGCCACAGAGAAGACAGCCCCCAGCTTGCTCTCCCCATTCCCAGCCCTGCCTCTGGCAGACCAGGGGCCGCTCTGTTTCTACCCCACTGTATAGCCCTCAACAACTATCTTCCTAAACTTTATTTAGTACCTGCTCATCCCTTCTGCTGCCACCCTGCCCGGGTGCTGGAAGGGGACACCCAGGAAAGGTGGCTCCTTGGCCAGAGCTTCCAGCCACCCTCTGCAGGGCTGGAAGGGGTTCAAGGTCACTTGGAAACCCAGCACCTCCAACGCATCTTGGATTGGGGACCAGAGGCGGCATGCCACCAGTAAGGCTGCAAGCTGGGCTTGATGGTAAACCTCTTCTTGAAATAAGAGAAAAAAAAAATATATATCACACTGTGAGGAGGGTGTTTCCCACAAGGAGTCTGTGCCCAGAGGGCTCCAGGAGCGTCAACAACTATCCAGGCAAGGTCCTTTGAAGTTGGGGGCTTTCCCTGCAGCAGAAGCAATTGCAACTTATCACAGGTGTGAGAAGGCCTGGAAATCACCCAGGGCACCCCCCAAAAGGTTTCATTTTCAAGGCTCCTCCAAGCACTGCTCCTCCCTACAGTGCCTCTCCCTGTGCCCAGTCCCATCAGCAGGTATGCTGCTGGGGCAGCCCCTGCACGGAGGAACAGCCTC